GCCCATTGTTTTCGCAGGCCGGGATCCTAGAACAGGTTGGTAAAGCTTTATTCTTTTATCATGCCTATAATTTATAACTAGTCTTCAGTTAGTACTTTGGAATGACTACTAAGAAGAAAGCTGGAATGATAAAAGCCTTTCTCTATTTTGGAAATCAATGGAAAATGATTCAATAATGCTAACCAAACAGATTGATCTTCAAGTGCTTGAACTGAATTAGTGAACCAAAACTATGTACTGACTTTATTCCTTAGACATTTACACTCCTACTAGCTTCCACTTTCTTTCTCCATTCTGGTTGTCTCGATCTTCCTCCTTGTGTGAAGCCTAGCAGTCAAGATTTATTAAGGGTTGCTGAATATTGTAATGTGATTGCAGGGAAATCACATGCTCTTCACAAGAGGGTAGAACAGCTTTGCACCAGGGCAATCAGATGGGGTGAATTGAAAAGGAAGGCAAAGGTATTTACCTTTTGGGTCCTTTCTTATTTCCTCCTAAACCTAAATTTGCTTCCAAACACATGATAAGAAACTAAAAAGAACTTTTCGACTTTTATCAAGTTTGTTTTTTTGCTACAGCTGATAAAAATCGTTGTTTTGAACGATACATATGTAGAAAGCCTACTCTTTGTTTCTCTGCCTGTTATCTGGTAATGATTGATTCGGAGGGGTCGTATCAATAATTTTTATAAACATGCAAACTTTAATATGACATGAGTTTCATGCTTTGCTTTAGTCGTTGCTTAAGAGGTATATATATTCTTAATAATGATGACCAAGACGGTTTGAATAGGCCCATCAGTCTCATGCTTCAGTCTTGCTTAGAATCATAGATAGAATAACAAAGATCAAGGTATCTTTTACTTTGGCTGGTAGTGCATACAGGAGTGCTAATTTGGATTGAGTCTGGTGGCAAAAAGGGTCTTCCACTTTTCATACTAACAGAATGTTTGTCTTTGGCATGATGTCCTTGTTCTATGGTTATTCACTGAATAAATTTTGTATAATTTTTCTGATCTCATTATGACAAGTATATGCACTGATGCAGGCTGAGAAGAAGCTAGCAATTACAGTCTTCAGTTTCCCTCCAGACAAAGGAAATGTTGGAACAGCTGCCTATCTGAATGTTTTTTCCTCCATCTTCGCAGTTCTGCAAGAACTCAAAAGGGATGGTTACAATGTGGAGAACCTTCCGGAGACTTCAGAAGCCTTGATCGAAGATGTAATTCATGACAAAGAGGCTCAATTCAGCAGCCCAAATCTTAATGTTGCTTACAAAATGGGGGTCCGTGAATATCAAAGTCTAACTCCATATGCTACTGCATTGGAGGAAAACTGGGGAAAACCTCCTGGGAACCTGAACTCTGATGGAGAGAATCTCTTAGTATATGGGAAACAGTACGGAAATGTCTTCATCGGAGTTCAGCCCACATTTGGCTATGAGGGTGATCCAATGAGGCTACTGTTCTCCAAATCAGCTAGCCCCCATCACGGTTTTGCAGCATATTATTCATTTGTTGAAAAGATTTTCCAAGCTGATGCTGTACTACATTTTGGTACTCACGGTTCACTGGAATTCATGCCTGGAAAACAGGTGGGAATGAGTGATGCCTGTTTCCCAGACAGTCTGATTGGGAACATCCCCAATGTCTATTATTATGCTGCTAATAACCCATCTGAAGCTACCATAGCCAAGCGTCGGAGCTATGCCAACACCATCAGCTATCTGACTCCTCCTGCAGAAAATGCTGGGCTTTACAAAGGCCTTAAGCAATTAAGTGAGCTTATCTCCTCCTATCAATCCCTTAAAGACACAGGCCGTGGGTCACAGATTGTTAGCTCAATAATCAGCACAGCTAAGCAATGTAATCTTGATAAGGATGTAGAACTACCTGAGGAAGGGCTGGAAATCTCAGCAAAAGAACGAGATCTTGTGGTTGGAAAGGTGTATAACAAAATCATGGAGATTGAGTCCCGTCTATTGCCTTGTGGGCTTCATGTCATTGGTGAGCCTCCGACAGCCATGGAAGCAGTTGCAACTCTTGTTAACATTGCTGCACTGAACCGTCCAGAAGAAGGGATTACTTCCCTCCCAGATATATTAGCTGAGACTGCTGGAAGAGACATAGAGGACATTTATAGAGGGAGTGATAAAGGGATATTGAAGGATGTAGAGCTTCTTAAGCAAATAACTGACACATCACGTGGAGCAATTTCTGCATTTGTGGAGCGTACAACCAATGAGAAGGGTCAAGTAGTTGATGTTAAAGATAAACTGAGCTCAATCCTTGGGTTTGGTATAAATGAACCTTGGGTTCAGTACTTGTCAAACACAAAGTTTTATAGGGCTGACAGGGACAAACTGAGAACATTGTTTATGTTTTTGGGAGAATGCTTGAAGCTGATTGTGGCTGACAATGAGATAGGGAGTTTGAAACAAGCATTGGAGGGCAAATATGTGGAGCCAGGTCCTGGTGGTGACCCAATTAGAAACCCGAAAGTGTTGCCAACTGGAAAGAATATTCATGCACTTGATCCACAATCTATACCCACAACAGCAGCAATGCAGAGTGCAAAAATTGTGGTGGAGAGGTTGATAGAGAGGCAGAAGATTGATAATGGGGGAAAGTATCCTGAGACAATAGCACTTGTTTTGTGGGGTACAGACAATATTAAGACTTATGGTGAGTCCTTGGCTCAGGTTTTGTGGATGGTGGGTGTAATGCCAGTTGCTGATGCTTTTGGACGAGTCAACCGGGTCGAAATAGTAAGTCTTGAAGAGCTTGGAAGACCCAGGATTGATGTTGTTGTCAACTGCTCTGGAGTTTTCAGAGACCTCTTTATCAATCAGGTATTGTTCTTTTCTATGCTTCCCATTTCTTTTGGATACATGTTAGCACATAAGAATTCAACCCACATTATATGGTAGGATCACTGTCTAGTTATTTATGTGACTTACGGTATATCATAATAGGGGCTTTGAATTTCTATGGTAATAAGAGGTTGGCAGTCCTCGTGGTTTTGGTTCATTTCAAATACATAATACTTTGACTATGCTTGACGAACTGTGACATAAGATCCCTATTTGATGAAAAATAAATATTCCGCAAATGCATATTGCTGTTTCATGGAGTAGCATCAATAATGTGGCACTGACAATTGTATTAACTAATTACTAACAATTTCTACATGGTAATTTTGTTGTCTGCAGATGAATCTGCTTGACCGTGCAGTGAAGATGGTAGCTGAACTAGATGAGCCAGTTGAGCAAAACTTTATCAGGAAGCATGCACTGGAACAAGCAGAAACCCTTGGGATTGGGGTTCGTGAAGCTGCAACTCGGATCTTCTCCAATGCTTCAGGATCCTATTCCTCCAACATTAACCTTGCTGTGGAGAACTCCTCATGGAATGATGAGAAGCAGCTGCAAGACATGTATCTAAGCCGAAAATCTTTTGCTTTTGATTCTGATGCCCCTGGTACAGGCATGGCTGAGAATAGAAAAGTTTTTGAGATGGCTCTGAGCACAGCTGATGCGACATTCCAAAACCTTGACTCATCAGAGATCTCACTTACTGATGTAAGCCACTACTTTGACTCGGATCCAACCAATCTGGTGCAAAACCTAAGAAAGGATGGAAAGAAACCAAGTGCTTACATTGCTGACACCACCACAGCTAATGCCCAGGTGAGCATTGAGACACACTGTACTATTATTTCAATACTAAATTCAGAATGGAGTGTCATGTTATTGTTTATATTGCAGAAGAAGATCTGAATAAACTAAATAAATAAATTCCCAATTAACAAGCTGATCTTGCAATGCAGGTTCGCACACTCTCTGAGACTGTGCGTCTTGATGCAAGGACCAAGTTGTTGAACCCTAAATGGTATGAAGGAATGTTATCCAGTGGATACGAGGGTGTTCGTGAAATTGAGAAAAGGCTTACTAACACAGTTGGGTGGAGTGCAACTTCCGGCCAAGTTGACAACTGGGTGTATGAAGAGGCCAACTCAACTTTCATTCAAGATGAGGAGATGTTGAACAGGCTGATGAAAACAAATCCAAACTCCTTCAGGAAGCTGGTACAGACATTCCTGGAGGCCAACGGACGCGGTTACTGGGACACTGATGAGCAGAATATTGAGAAGTTGAAGGAGTTGTACTCAGAAGTTGAAGACAAGATCGAGGGAATCGATCGGTAAACTCAAACTCAATGTTGAGAACATTGTAAATTAATGTGCAAATATCAGTAACACTATGATTTACTTGAGCTCCTCTCCCCCCCGTCCCTTTTTCCAGCTCGGCAAAGCCTTTAGGAAATGTCTAATGTGAATTCTTAACCAGTTCCCCCATGTAGTTCAATTCATTTTGAGGGATATGTATCTGTACTGTTATTTTGCAGACTTTTAAGTCCTATAAATATATGTATTCAGTTCACAACTTCTTTTATAAACATTCTCAACAACATCATCATTATAGTTGAAATTGATGGGAATTTCAAAGCAAAAAAAAGGTTAGAATGCCAGAAATAGTGTTAAGAGATTAATCTTAAAGAAATCCTTATGGAAGAAATAGCTTCAGGTTCTTAATCTGATGACAGAGAATGAAACTTATGGAATGAAAATGCTCATTCTTACTCATTTCCCCATTTGAAATTTACATCTCTGGTTTGTTTTTTAATATTAAAAAATTAGGAGCTGTTTGGTATTATATTTGAATCCAACTTTTTAAACTCAAAAACAGAATTTGAGTTTAAAGTCCGAAAAATAGGCCCTTTTTTGAAAACCCAAACCTAAAAATAACTCAAAAACACCGAAAAGTAATTTGAAAATAGCTGTTTTTTCAGAATTTTTTTCTTCTGGTCGGGCTAAGCTTTCAAGCCTCCATGGCAGAAGCTTGAACCTCTCTTGCTCCCTCTCTCTCCCTCTCTCTCTTCGTCCCTCTATCTCATCAGTAACTTTTAGTGCTAGGCATCTGGGGGCTGCTCTCGCGGCCTCCTCTTGTCTCTGCGACTCCGTCAGTCGAAGTCTCAACGTCACACACCGCGAGCTGAGTTGCTCTCCATCTCCGATATCTGCAATCGGGTAATTTTTAGTTCTTTTGTTGACCTTGTTACTGAAGATTGGGGATTAATTTTCATTTGAGTTATGTTTTCGATTTGATTTATATGAAGTCTTGTGTGTAACCTAAACTAACAGATAAAGGGTTTTGGAATGATACCTCTGTAATTTTTTGATACGTTGCCTTTGTGATGAGGTAGGCACATAGCTTTGAAATATTCCCTTTGAAGACTGGTCTCTAGTCTTTTCCAATGTGGCTGGTTTTACTTAATATCATTTCAAGGGGGGGGAAGAGGCTTTTCAGGCACTATAACTGGCCCTTCTAAAATGTCTCACTTGCCCATAAATATTGTGGTAGATAACATGATACCTCTTATTTATCTTTTTTAAGGTTTATTTGATTTCCTTTTTTTTGCCTTCTTTATACTTTGTCATGAGTTTCTTGAACCTTCTTTTTGAACTATCAGTCAAACTAATGCCAGGCACATTTTAACTGCTCTAAACTTTCCTGCATTTTTTAGATGCTCATTCTCTAACCTGGACAGTTGGAACAAATTGTCCATTAGATTGGAGCAATTGAACTTCAAACGAAAGGGGTATATCTAACTTGAGTTTCATGTCAATGGCTGCACATGTAGACTGATATAAGAATAAAAATCATTGGGATTTGAGTAGTTACCTGTAAAAGTTCCACATCCCTCTTCTGATGACTTCAAGGGCTGCTAAAAACAGCCCAGTTACTCTGTAGTCCACTTGTCCAAAACTTGAATGGAGAGCAGTTTGCAACCAAGCTAGCCTGAGAATAAGGTTCAATCCCTGCATAACATCCAAAATATTGATCAACACCAGATCTCAAAACTGTCAAGCTGACATGACCTAAACTGTAACCTAGAAACAAAACACAAAATTTGCTTCTATGATGTGTGCTCAGACAACATCTAATTCTTTGCTGTCATATTGTCTTCTGTGAAATCTCACTGAAATTTGCTTCTGTAAATATGCCCTAGTTGGATAGGAATTGCTTTCTTTTCAGTATCAGTTTGGAAATCTCACTGAAATTAATGAAAAATGAGTTTGAATATGAAACTGAGGAATTGGTTTTGTGACAATTTTTAGGGAAGAAGTTCCAATATGTCTCAGATGATAAGTGATATGTGGGAGTTAAAATAAATCTAATGTTAATGTCTTTTTTCTTAATTTATTTTGCAGTGCCTTGATGAGAACAAATAGTTGATTCTGGCAATATTGGATAATCAAAAACTTGGAAAACTTGCTGAGTGTGCCTAGTAAGTCCTCTCTCTCTCTCTTTTATGTGTTTGTATTGTTTCTAATTTTGATTATGAGTCATCTTATGTGGGCACTGAAATCTGCCTTTATGAGTATTTTTGTCTTGGATATAAGAGGCAATGATTTTGTAAATTTGTAAATCTGTCTACTTTGGTGTTCTTAGACCTTAGTAAGTATTCAATGCTCCTAACTCTTCATACTTGTTGTGTTTGTTACAACCTTTCATTGGTGATGAATTTACTTTTCCATTTTTGGTATAATATTTTGTATGAGTTTCATCTTGATGTTCTTTTAATTTTATGACTATCAGTGTAATGGTTCATTTCTATGTTTTCTGTTTTGGACTTTGGAAAACAATACTCTTGATTTTGACTCCTAAAAGCATTGTGAACTTAAAACTTGAACTATGGTGGCTTTTGCTGTCTGAATTGGCCTTATGCTTGCCATGTGTTTATTGTGATGTCTGTCTTTTTACATTGTTTTAGTACATAGTAGAGAGATGTCAAACAAGGACCTTGAAAATGAGTTTGATGATAAAGCTTATTGGCCAAAGCCCATTGAAGACCATTTTATTCATCTACTGTATGAAGAGGCAAAAAAAGGCTTGCAAACCAATAATTTAGATAAGACTGAGTGGGCTGGTATAGAAAAGCAGTTGTTTGACAAGTTTGGGAAGAGATACAGTCGTGACAAATTGAGGCAGAAATATAACCGATTGCGCAAGATTCACCGTGAGTTTACAAAGCTCATTTCTCATACCGGGATGGGTTGGGACCCAAACACGAACACCGTTCAAGCATCGGAAGAAATTTGGGCATCCTATCTCAAGGTATGCATCTTCTTGTATAATTTGTCTTGTTTTGGTATGCTACAATATATGTGCATTTTTTAATCCATCTTGTATTAATTTTACAGAAAAACAAGTTTGCAAGCCGTTTTCGTAGCAAAGGATGTCCTCACTATGATTTGCTTGGTTTGATTTTCAACTACACCACTGCCTCTGGACAAATGCAATGCGCATCTACTCATTCTCCTCCAGATTCTGATGCTGAAAGAGAGCTAGAAAATGATTTTCTTACCAATGGTGCACATGTAGGTCTTAATCCAGAAAGTGGTTCAAGAGGTTTTAGTGAGGGAGATGAAGGAACTAGCAACAAGAACAAGCGTGCTGCTCTATTTCCCCAGAGTGATCTTCCCTCAAGGTTAAAGTCATCTAAATCAACCAAAATTGATGAAACCATTGAAGCTTGGGCAAAGTCTCTTAATAGCAAGATTGAAGTTTCATTGGCAAAGCTTACGCGTAAGAGTGAAAAGGAAGTGGCCTTTCCATATAAAGAATTGGGCTCCATTGAGGATTGTATGGAAATATTGGAGGCCATGGAGGGAGTGAATGATGATGCTTATGTGAAAGCTTTGGATAAGTTTACTAGTTCAGATTGGAGGAGGATGTTCGTGAAGATGTCAGATTCAAGGAGAAGAGTGTGGCTCAAAAGCCTAAAGTGAATGAGATTGTGAATTATTAGTTTTAGAATTTATTTAGTTTAGAATATTTTAATTTAATATGTATTATTTAGGACTTGAAGATCAATTGAGTTTGGCGATGATTTAATTTTGGTATTAAAGCATGGGTGTTAAAATAGTATGTTTAATATAAGTTTAATAATTTTTATTAATATCTTAATTTTAAAAAACATTATTGTCAAGAATTAAACCAAACAAGTTTTCAAATTTTTAATATTTTGAAACAATTTTCAAGTTGCATACCAAAGATGTTTTTGAATCTTAAAAAATGGATTTAAGAATTTATTGTTTTTAAGAAAGTTGAAATTTGTGAGTTCTCTACTTGAATAGGATACCAAACTCCTGTAGCTATGAGTTACCTCTTGTTTCCGTAACTTGAATATTTTTAAGTCAGTATTTCGTTTGATAAAGAGACATTCTAACAATAATCCAAATGTGCGAATTGCGAGAATTTGAATCAATCTACAAGTCCAACTCGGATTATTGAATACACAATTCTGCCTTTCATATATTCATGATCAAAAAGAGATAGATGAATACATCTTTTGGGAGTGCATCTTCAATCAGTAATGAATGGTAAAATATAAACCTACAGAAAAAGAAACCAAAAAATAGAAATAAAAATGGAAAAAAGATGCCCTCCCTCAAAAAAGAAAAAAAAGAAGAAAAAGAGAGTTCTGTATGACAGTTAACAAAGTGGTACAACGTTTCCTTCTTACTCCCCTTTCTTGGTATTTTCAGTATCAAAAGATAGAAATTTACCTTCAAACTAACTCCATTAAGAGAGGGTCACCTTCTGCCATTGTTCGTATTAGTTTTATGAAATCTTGTTCGCTTGACACATTCCACGGATGAATGGCAGGTACTTTAGCTGAATAAAGGGATGAAGAATTGGTAGAAGGTGGTTGTTCTTCATAGATCATTGTACTAAACACTGAGTCAAAATTCTGAGGTGAATCTATTGCTAGAAAGAACATTGGAATGGCAACCTTGTGATGAATTTCTAGATTTCCAACTAGATTAAAAAGGTCGGTGAAGTCAGCTACAAACCGACGAGGTATGTAGAATACCTCAGAACTACATACCGTGATGCTCTTGCCACTAGTTACAGAGTTCTTGTAACTGACTTGGAAGTGAACTGGCATCATGCTAACAACCTTCTTTACCATGCCTGCTTGCTTTGAAAACCAATCCGAGTTGTCTTTTGTGGAAACAGTAGTCCAAGACTTGGATACCTGAATCAGATTGAAATAGTAAGAGAAAAAGAGACATTACAATAATTTAAATGTCAACCAATCAGCTCTTGAAAAAGAAGGCACTATATTATCAATTTTGTATTTTGCTTTCCTTCTAGGTAAAGTGATTCGGAAGGTATCTACGTGTGTATTAGCAACAACGATAACTAGTTTTAAAATGCAATAGAAACGTTAATCTTAAAGAAATGGGGTATTAGAAGTCATACCTCATTTGTAATCCACAATTTAGTTTTGTCTGCTTGTAGAAGATTCCAGTAATTAAGAATAGTATTGTCCTGAAGGAATAAAAATCCATCTGCACCGGAATATCGATAAAATATTTTGGGCAGGTACCTGCAAAGAAACATTGAAAAGCGCAATTAGAAAACTACTGATGGCCCATCTTAACTAATTCCAACACAGGCTTTCAACCAAAATGCAAGTAAAGCAGTTAGGATTTCACATACAACCATTGTCTGCCATAATTATGAGCGATAACAATGAATGCCCAAGAAAAATTAAAATTGACAACGCAACTGCCGAAACTTGCTTTTGAAAGAAGCAATCAACAGTATTCATATTCCTAGGGCTACGCATAGATTCTGCAGTCTAAAACAGACTTGGGGATTACAGGGCCTGCTTCTGAAGCTGTTCAGTTCACTCATCTCATTTAACATAAATTTCATAAACCTAACTAGCACATAATGCATACCACAAGGCACCAACTCACGAAACCGAGAAAAGAAGGAAAACAACAATGCTCTTCTAAAATTAAAATCTTTTCTGACAGTCGCAGGGTATTTTGTATAATCAATACTAAACTTTAAATGCTGTGAGGAACACAATCAGGAAGATGCATGATTAAATTCTTAATTTCTGGAAACAAGCTAGCGAATATTCTGAAGGATCACTAATTGCATATATTTGCCCAGGAAATAAATAATTGAGGCCTGAGCCTTCAAGAAAGGAACAGAGCTTGGAATGACATCCGCTACTTGGTGACAAAAACCTCTCCTGCTAGGTCTTGAATATGAGAACAGTAGCCCCAAACTTGTATCTAACCTAACTCCTCAATTAATGTTTTTAAATAAAGAAACAAGGTTTCAATTGAATATTATACCACAGCATTCCCTATCTTCTTAACCCTTACGGCTACTCAGAAGGATAGAACTAAACAATTTAACAATATGGCAGAGCCAACAAAGTAATTGAATAAAAGAGGTACAGATTCATGAGAAAAGCGACTTACTTGTATACATAATCCAATTTGCCTTCTTCAACAGCAAGGTCAGGGTTCTTTAGCTCTGACAAAATGATCACAGTCTTAAATATCCGCCCATAGAGCAATCTCCATTCCAGAGCAGTACGTTCCACCGGTCCACTGCAAAACATGATAAGCACAACATTCCCAAAATTCTTCCTCCACCTAATCAAATTTCCAATTTCATAGTTCACTGTCCCTGTTTCCTCAACTCCAAGATGAACAGATGGAAACTTTTGCGGGATAAACTCTTTTGTATCCCCATGACCAATATTTGCCCGTGGCCGATCCAATTCCAATGACATTAATCTGGGCTGCTGGTACCCAACCGCAATCAAGTCCTGAAGCCACGCAGCAGTAAACTTCAGATCCTTCTCAGTCCAAAACCCCTCTTCTGTCATAGCGAAACTTAACTCCAAAATCTTTTCAAACAGCCTATGCTTACTTGATCTCCATGAAACCAAAAATTTGATCAAACGTCCCACATTGACATGAAGATCTTTCTCTTCAGAAAATGGGTACGCCTGAATTCTATCATACCTATGAACAGTTGGGGGATAAACTACAACAAATCCACCTATTTCCCACAAAAGCCTCTGCCCCCAATATCCCCTCAATACGTCAGAAGCCATCGTGCTAACTGAAACAGGAAGCATCAAACCCCAAAACGCCGATACATGGTAAATTGTATTGAAAGAATTAACAGGAACCATCGTACCCTGCGGCAACGCCACTTTCGGGGCATGGTCATCAAACCTTATATCAAAGGCTTCCAAACTCGATTTTCGTGTAAAATAAAACACAGAATCGACATCAGGAAGTCCATTTGATATGCCCTGTTGTATAAACTGCTTTCCACCAAAAATCTCAGTGTAGAACTCTTCATGGCCAAGTTCACCAACATTTTCCAATGGCAAACCTCTCGGCCAAACTGAGCGTTGCCCAAAATGAATGTATGGGTTCACAATGGTTCTATTAGGATTCTCATGGCTATATTGCAATAAAATCTCTTGCCTAGCACCCTCTCCCGTCAATTCTAAATCAAAATGTTTTCCCAAGTCATCATCAATCACCTCCCCGCGATCATCAGCGTCGAAGATCTTCTTCGCGCCATGTTGGATCGCAAACAAGTAACCCACACTCTTCCTAACATACGAATCATAAGGCAAATAATCCAAAACTCTAAAACCCAATTGAGCTTGTTGTTCAAGGGACAGAAAGATAGCACCTTTGAGGCTCCAATCCGACGGCGTTTTCGAGTTCCCAATTGCCAAGACCTGCCACCCTTTGAGCTTCACAAGCTTTCCGAGCGAGTCAGTTGGGTAATTAGAGACTGAAACGACAATCCACTTCTCAGATCGGAAACTCGCGTAGGGAGACGACGTGTCGGAGATGGGCTTGATATTCGATTCGAGCTGCGGCAATCGAATCTTCTCGAGAGCCTGGGCTTGGGTTTCGAAGCAGAGCAAAGCAGCGGTGTCTCCGATGTTTCGAAGCACGAAGAGGACGGCGACTGTGGCTATGAGAAGCACGACGGTGACGATCTTGTATAGATTCTCGGAGACCCATGTGGAGAAATCGAGATTTGGAGCGAAAGAGAGTGAGGCTCTGATCTGAGAAGAGTGAGAGTGCTTCGGTGATTTGGGTCCTGGACGGTCTTGGACCAACATTGAAGAAAATTTCAAAACCCAAATTCCCAAAGTCCCAAATTTTTCTCTCAGTCTGAAATGCCTTGACTCAGAGTCAGAGCTGATTGTGAGTGATCAGAGGAGCTTCACTGTTGAGCTCCTTCAACAAACGTTCATTTGCAGTACTTTTGCACCGTACAAGAAGAAGAAGAAGAAGTTTTGTTATGTGAGCTGCCACTGCGTGTGATTTGAGCAAGTTGTGAGCTGCCTTGCTTTCTCTGTCAAGTGGTTGCGCTGCCGACAGTTAGGGTAAAGAGAAAGTTTTGAACTTGTGATGGTTGGTGTTTCTTTCTTAGATTTCAAGTCTTGAATTATATAACTGCTGCTGCTCTCTTGTTGCAGTTTGGTGGGGTCTCTGTCTTCTTCTTCTATTTTATGCTTCTTCTTTTTTTATTTCTTTATATGAAATCGATTATGTTCTGTATTCTGTACTTGTTAGTTGGTTCTTCTCGATTTGCCAGTCTGCAATTTTATGGTAGAATTGGACTGATTGAGTCTTTATTACTCTGCCTATTTCATTATTATATGATAATGACGATTTGTGCCATTTGTAAGTATTATTTGAAGGCAATAATTGTCAGCTCAAATTTTCCATCTATTTATGACAACCTTGTCTCTTCAGAATACCAAAATGATCCTAATTTTTTAATCATGCTTTCGAATAGAGGTGGGAATATTGTACATGGTCCATTAATACAAAACAAATTCGTAAAAGGAAAAAAAAAAAATCAGTATTTAAGTTGGATTTATTGAGTTGTATTGAAAATGGGTGGACTTGTTACCTACTCGTTAAGCTAATTAGTCGTTTTGGGGTCCGTTTAGAGATAACCGTAATCACCTATTAAGACATTTTATCAACAATTCTATCTTATATTTGGAACTTGGTGAGTGATCATTTTTTATCCCTCTAGATGTATTGTTTAAAGATATTTTATTTAAATATTTAAACATCATTTTTATTATTGTCTAATATGAGGTGTTTTTATTTAACAATTTGTTATAAGAAATATAATTTATGTTCTAAACGGGTTAAACGGATCATTTAAGTTTAAACGAGTCATGTTGTGCCATTCATTATTTTAAATGGTCATGTTCGTGTGTGATAGTTTCCACCGTTAACTTAACGGGTTGTGTATATGTCAATACGTTAATAAAGCGGCTGGATATGAACACCATAAAACACGACTTGTTTGCCAGGTATACTTTCAAATCTCCCATCTTTTGTTAATAAAATAACATTTACTTTACATGAATAGCTCTAGGCCTAGAACAACCCAAGAGATCATCTAAGATCGAATACATAATTGTTGGGGAGACCAAAATCAAACCAATTACACCATAGATCTAAAGTAAAGCTAATATTCGCCTAGATTTCAAAATTGGGTCGGCTCAGCTCTAAAATTTGAGCTTAGAACAAACACAATGCAAAAGAATGAACATAGTTTTTTCTCCTCCTCAAATCTTCATACACAACAAATTGATGCTCCATTGATCAAGAAAAACACAATGCATATTAGGTAGGGTTTGGATAATGAGAGAAGGTGATGAATGTTGGTGTGTAGTGATTTAGAGGTTTGGGAGTAGGCTTGATTTTCGGATGAAACAGATAGGAATCAAGGGATTCCAATTCCAACAAGAAATTATTGGTCATTAAAGAATAACTTTTTCTTTTTTGGGTAAGAACAAGAACAACTTGTCTATGTGTATTTGGTCATTAAATCATGTGTAGCTCAACATGAAATTAGTCATTGCATGTAGTCTAACCTCGAAACCCCAATATATTTCAGAATGCGGAATTTTCGAAATCTTGAGATACATTCTAATTCCAATCCAACTTTTTTTTTGGAATTTTCAGATTTTTGAACTTTCGGATGTCAGAATAGATTTCAAAGATCCATAATCAGAAATTTTCAACCTAACTTTCAGCCATATTTGGGAGTAAGAGAAGATGATGGGTCTATGGTAGAAATGTAAAGAGAAAATTTTTCAATGCCCATAGTACCACCCATTTTTTTGGCCCTTTGGCCCCAAAATCCACTTTTGATCTGCTTTTGAACATCTCAAACCTCCTATTGGTATGCAACAAACTTGTAACTCAAGATGTTAAGAGAATTCACCACTTTCCGGAGTGACACATTCGATTCCTCCTAAGTTTCGCTTCTATAACCGTCTATGAGTGTCTCATGTATGGCAGCGCAAAAGTCCAGAGGGTTTACATTCATATCAGCCCAATGAATCGATAGCCCAATAAACAGTGGAATTAGCAAGCTAGCCCACTACCCAACGCAGCACCCGCCATTCCACGTGACCACAGCGGGTTTAAAGAGCTATAACTAAAAATTAAAAAAGTAATAAGAAAATGAAAATGAAAACGGTTTAGAGAGAGAGATTTTCAAATAATAGGCAAGGAACCGCCAGTTTTCGAAAACTGAGAGAGAGAGAGAGAGAGAGAGAGAGAGAGAGAGAGTAATGGCTCCGTTTCCATCTCCACTCGAACGCGTAGTTGCTTCGGCTTTGCTCGTCCTGGCCACCACACCTCCGAAGTAAACCAAAACTTCAATTTCAATTTGCATTTGCGTTTCGATCGCTTCGATCGTTCTTCAATCTTCTGACGCATTTTTGCTTGCAGGCTCTGTTTGGACGACGATCGCGAGTTGGTGAGGGAGCGAAGCAAGATCGAGAATTGCAGAGAGAGCTCGGTTTCTGGGGATTCCAATAAGTCGTTCTCGTCGTTGATCACCACATGCGAGGTTTCCACGGAGGAGATTCGAGCTCGTAAGATCAGAATCGTAGCGCTTGCGGCTCTTCGTCGTGAGATGAAGCTCAAGGTGATCGAGCTTCTCTCTCTCTCTCTGTTTCTCATCTATTTTTAAATTTTACTTGCTGTTTGGTTGATTTTCACAACTCTGAATTCGAACTGTGAATTCTGAGTTCGCTTCGTCCCTTTAATCGTTTTCCAAACGGAACGGAAGATCGAGCGATGATTTTTCTCTTATTATTTTGCTTTAATCTGTTCGCTTATTAGTGAAATATTTGCTTTTCTTCAGTTTTTCTCTTCGTCATGTGATGAAGATGAAGCTCAATCGGAGCTTCTCTCTCTGTTTTTCCTTCTTTTTCTCTTTGCATTGTAAGCTCTGTTTGGCTGAAATTTCTGCATAATCCGATTAATCTGGTCTCGTTCTTAACTTTTCTGTTTGGCTGCATTTTTATCTTATATATCTGAATCCGAACTGTGTTTTTAATTTCCTTTTGTTACTTTAATCGTTTCCCGAAACAAAGTTCAAGCTGATATGTAATTAAGCTGAATCTGAGCTTCTCTCTTTCTGTTTCTCTTCGATTTTTGGCATTCTCACTTGCTGTTTGGCTGAGTTTGTACGATTTTCATGGAAGTTTCGGTTCATTTTTGTTGCTTTAATGTGTTTTCCAATCCCAATATAAATCTAAAAGATCCTTCTTTCTAAAATTTTTGCTTTCCAAATCAGTGATTGAGCAATTCGATTTCATCGATCCGATTCAATTATGAGCATTTTCTTCTTCTTCAAGTAATAATTTGAATTTTCTCTGAATTAGGGTGTGCGGAGAAGTCGCTCCAAGACGCAAACAAGCTGGAAGACCGTCTCTGGATCGTCGGCGACGGCGTCGTTCCGATCTGAGACCACCACGGAGTCTTCGTGCGTGTCCACCAGCTCCAGTGCGGCTTCAAGCTCGCGAAGCCGACACGCGTCATGGTCAGCTTGGAATTATCGTGGTGCCACTAAGCTTTCTATGGTGAGGGAGGAGCCGATGAAGAGGAAGCGGCTGAGCTTCTCGGCTCACATGCGCCGCAAAGCTGAGGCAATTCTGAAGCTCTTGTCCGGTGGCTGCTGCTTTTCTGAAGTTAAGATTCGTCAGACCATCGGTGACAGTCCTGACACTAGCAAAGCACTCAGAATGTTAGTTTTCTCTCTCTCTCGATCCCTCAATTTGACACGTGGCCCTTGGTGTGTGTGGTATGCATGTGGATGTGATCGAGTGCACGAGAAATTCCAAAAAAAAAAAAAAAAAAAAAAAAAAAAAGAGTGCACGAGAAATTAGTGTGATGAGAACGTCTTAACCGTCGGATCTGAACTTCTGTTATGTTTTAGTTAATTTTTAGAACAAAACCCTTTGCCTTACGTGGCAAGAATGTTCTGACGTGGAGAGATGTAAATGGGTATTGTGTGTTTCTGTGCATGCAGGTTGTTGAAGCTTGAGAAGGTCAAAAGGTCAGGCATTGGAGGCCGTTACAACCCTTATATTTACACGGTATATATATATTTATATATTAAAGTTGCTTATAAATATATATTAAAAATGCAAAAATAACTATCTATGCTTGTGTGATCATATACTTATATTAATACTTGTCTTTCTTTAAACTCTCTATTAATCTTTTGCTTCTTCTTGACTCGCAGATAGCGTGAGAAGAGGTAATGCTAAAGGGAACCCGATTAAGCATGGCATGGGTCATCTTTACGACCCGTTTTAGCTATCTTGGATCCACTCCCTTGGTTGGGTTGGGGAAATTTTGTTATGATGGGTAGCTAAAAATTGGGATATATATATATATACCAAAAAATATATATAAATATATATATGGTCTATATAATATAGAATTAATATGGAATGATATGATATTGTAAGTGTGAATTGTATGGCATGCAGTTCATAATTACACGTATTCTTCAGTACTGTTTGGCAGCATGCATGCAGCACTTAACCTGAAGTCTAGAGGGAAAGGCGGCTTCTTTTACCTAAAATTACCGCAGAGTTTTACTTTTACTAAAGGTTAATTAGTTAGTTATAGCAATTACCAATGGAATGTTCTTTTAGGAAAGTATAAAACCCTGGCAATTTGGCATTTGTCCATTGTGATTTGTGAATGGCCAACCTCAACTTTGGCTTTTAACGAAACCTAATGCGTAAGCAAAGAATCAAAGGGCGATTTAAGCAATAGCTTTTGTTCTTATATATATACAATAAGTTTTTAACCAACCCATTTTGTTCCATCTACATAATAATAATATTCTTATGAAAATGCTCTTCTTTTGGGTCCATTTGGATGAAGGTACACATTTCATATATATAAGGATTTAGATGACATTATAAAATTTATTTCTTTTAAATATTTTTATGCAAACGAACCTTGATTTATTTTACTTCACAAATTGCGATTAATTATTAACATATATAAATATAATATAAATAACATCACTTTTTTTTCCCCCTAAACATAAATCCTCTATAATTGGGAACAAAGACGGATCGTACATATAGCTAACCTGAACTATAGCCCAGGTGACTTTTTCTTTTTCAGCCTAACATAACATTCCCAGCCCACCACATGCTTTGTGAAATACTCCACTCCAATGAAGGTTTGTAGAGGTGTACGCCTTAGATGCATTTTGTAGGAAAAAGATGAGAACACACGCCACCTATTTGACTTTTAACTTTTAATTTAAAAGTTTTGTTTGTTTGTTTTTTTCCTCAATGAAACAGTAAGTTTGGTAAGAGGGATATTTAATACACACGGTATCATTTTGATTAAATTTATGAAACCCAATGGCATCTTTGTTGTCCAGTTGCTACGCTCTAATGTGACAAGTGGGTAATTGTGTGATTAACCACATCTACATGGAGAAAAATAGGGTGACTGACTGTTTAGTAAAGGGGAGCTATAATTTTGATTTGGGGTTTGTGGTGCTTGATGAGATTCTTAGCTGGGTTGAGGCTACCTTTGATTATGATTTGTTAAGAGTTCCTAGAACTCGTACTGTCTCTGTCATTTAGTTTTTGTGTGTTTAGGGGTTAATTCCCCTATTTCACCCAATTTTTTTTATTTATGAAACCCAACCTAGCCAACCCTTTTGTTCTTATTAATTAATTTCCTTCTCACTACAAACCCAAGTTCCATGAAGCAATAGCTACACACCTTTACCAAGCTTCTAGATTGTAATAAGCTCCTTATTCTACTGTATTTTTAGTTATAACTAAATTACTTTATTTTAATCTGTTAAAAAAAAAAAACTTTATTTAGAACAAATATTCATGGATTGACCATTGCACACATTCATATTTTTGATAGATTTGTATAAATTTAGACCATCCTAATTTAAAATCCTGACTCCGTCCTGATTGGGAATAAATAAGTTCCAGGACCTTTCGCTCGGCTTAAGCGACAATTGACATTGGCATAGTGGCTTTGACATTAAGGGTGGTCCTAAATTTGAGTCTTCTAGTTAAATTTAAAAAAAAAAAAAAACCATAACGACTAGAATGCGAATATTCAACGCGTAGCTGCAAAGACTGACGCAGTACTCCTTGGACTACATTGCAACCACAAAAATAATAATAAAATAACATACAAAAGGAATGAGTCAAATCATGGCCTACAAAAGAATGCTTGCAGTACAGGGCTTGTATTCTGGTATATTTTCATTTTAGTCATTCAATTCTCCCTTGTATTTGAATTTGGCCTACAATACTGAACCATACTCTTCTTATTTCTTGTCATCACATACAAATTCATTACAATTAAAAAAGGGAGTTTCACTAAAACACCCAAAATGGAAGTTAAAATTATAAAAAAACCCAACACCCAAAACATTTTATAAACACACCCAAAACCCATCATTACACACACTCAAAACCCATTTATAAATACACCCAAAAAATACACAATTGTTGACTTTGGGTGTGTTTCTATGTTTAAATAGTGTTTGAATTTTTTTATAAATATATGTCTAGAATTGGGTTTATTTATAAATTTGTAATTAAAAAAAGACCTCAATTATTTAATGTCTAAAAACTTACATGTGGAGCTTGTGAGTCTGAGCCCATGTAAATAATAATAAAAAAAGAGAGCTTTCTAATCGGTGAATGTTGATGACAACTTTTTTTTAATTTAATTTAATTTAATTATTAATTTTTTTTAAATATTATTAAACCTAGGCTCATGGTGAAGGGTACATCTAAACTAGGGTCAATTACCTCTTGATACGTGCCAAAGACTAGAAAGGAAAATAAAGCTGGTAAGGAGAAACTAAAATAAGCAATTCTTCATTCTTGATCCCAAAATGGCCAAAACTCTCAAACTAAATGCATTCGGAATGTGAGTTCACCAACAGTATTACCAACTTATATGAAAATTAAATCTAAGAAGAACGCTACATGTGTATTCTCCATTTTAGAAAAAAAGAATATAAAGAAAGTTACAAGGAGTATTGGATCGGGCTGCTATCAATAGGACCATTAGTGAGGGTCATACTCATAATAATAGTTCATTACAAGAAATGCTTCCATGCAAAAAATAAAAACATATTGTTTATTTTTAAATTTTGTTAAAATCTTAGAATTTGATTTCCTACCCCACAATTGTTGGTTGTTGAATGAGTTTGTTTTAATTTTTTTTAAATATAGCACTTACTTGACCACTTGTCTTAAAGAATGAGTAAAATGTGCAATAAAAAAAGAATGAGTAAAATGATCCTTGAAGCTTTGGGTATATGAAAAGAGAAACAATGAAAAACAAAAGGGTACCACAATAATTGCATAGAAAAGATAGGCCCTTAAATGTAAAAAACCATAATAAATAGAGGAACCAACCAAGAACATAGGCAAGGCTATAAAAAGGACCAAGCGTCCCCTCCTTCCTCACAAGAAGCAAAATTCAATTTCTCAGCTTTGTATTGGGCTCTCTGATCTCTCTCCTTCCCTCCCTCCCTCCCTCTCTCTCTTGGGAAGAACAGAAAGCAACAGAGAGCAACATAAAGATTGAGAGAGAAATACACAAATATAAATAAAGATGGGAAAGTGGGTGGAATTATTAGATACAGGAGTGAGAATAGCAGCAAGATTTCATTCTCACTGCCCACAAACTGGACGCTTGTATTACCATCCTCCATCTGGTTCTGAAGATCAGCATCATCATCACTACTTTGACCAAGCCCAGAAGCCCACCAATGGCAGCCATTCTCAATTTGATGGCATCTTCACCAGTTGTGGTGTCAAGGCAGCAGCTATGGAGGCCAACACCAATGAGGCTTTTTTGTATTCTGTTTTGTGAGAAAGGAAGGAAATTAAGCATAATTTGTGTCCACATTTAATGGAGATTTTTTTTTTTGGTTTGATTTGTTAGACAGGCAGTTTGTGATTAGGAGGTTTTTGTTTTTGATAAATAGGTTTTTTATTTTGGTTTGATCTGTTAGACTGGTAGTTCTTGTATAACTTAAGTGCTGACTTTTTTGTATGGATGTAATGGCATTCACATAAGTCTCAACCACTGTGAATGCAAATACATCCACTGAAGATGATGTTTTGGAATGAATTTGAATGGACATGAAATATATACGATATGCAATGTTATTATCTGGCTATTTTGAGCCCATTTTGAATGCAGAATTTTCTGAGTTTTACAGCCACTTGGCTTCATTATTTTGGTCATTCTAGCAGTGAAATCATGAAATTCCATTTGCAATCGAGATATCATACTCTGAATTCTCTACAACTTCACATGATTTCCCTTGAATGAACCATAAAGAGGTTGTGACCTTCTGAAGCTGAATATATCGTCGATTTTGACGGAGGAAGCTTGCGCTGGTGAACTTTTGTCTATTTTATACTCAGATGAATGTGAGTTCCCATACACTCGTACACTTAATGTCCGCTTATGAGGTGCCCCAACTTTTATATGCTCATTGAAAAAATCTATCAGCTCTTGTTGTGTAAGCTGCCTCAGTGCAGCAATCTGTTTCAACCCCATCATTAATAGAGGACGCATTTTCTCTTAAGTATATTCCAACAGTTCTTTTGTATTTTTACAATTATCAGCTTTAACATTATCCTTTTCTGCTAACAAGTTTGTAATATTACTTTACGAAATATTTTCATCTACATAGAACTATTGGACTTAAGATGACATGCCCTGATAAGGACATTTTTCTTCAGGTTCTTTCCGAATTCATTTGTACTAAAAAAGATAAAATGTATTGAACATTTTGCATTGCAGACATGCAAATAAAGTTAGAGTGATGTTCATACCTCAGATTCTATCCTGTCAAACTTGAGGGTCCCATCAGAAATCTCCCTCCAATAAAATGCCGCTTCTTCCCTTAAGTTCTTGTGCTTCTCAAGCTTCATGTCGATCAACACATTTACATTGCTCTATGTAACAATCAGTTCAAAAGTTATTATTGGGAAAAAGAGTTGATCCTTTCAAGACTCGTAAACTCTCATCAAAGTTTTACGACTGTTCTCAAAATCATATTGTCACATTGCAGATCGTACAATCTCCCCTTTTATATATATATTTTTTATAGGTTTGCATCAACTTTATCTAGAAGTGAAGAACACTGACATTGAAACACATCTACCATCCATACACGACGATACTAAACATCGCAAGAAAGACCAATGGAAGGCGAAA